CTGTAATATAACAATTACCTCCTTCCAATAATATATTGCCACTATGTAAATCACAATGGATTAAATCTTTTTCATGTATACGATATAATGCATCACATAAATATCTAAAGATTGTAATTCTATTTTTTAATGTTAAATTAAAATGATTTTTTTGTAAATAGTCCCTTAAATTTCCTTCTGGATGATGACTAAGAACAATTGCATAATTTCCATTATCTGGGAATTTAGTTATACCATAGCAAGGAACAATCATTGGTGATTTAATTTTAGAATAATTTATTGCCTGTAATTGAATATAAAATCAATTAGTATTATATAATACAATGTTATTTAAATAAAAATTACCAACCTCATTAAAAAATGATTTTCCTGGATTGCTTGAATTATTTAAACTTTTTAATACTACTAGTTGCCCTCCAAAATAATTAAATTCCTTTTTATTTTCATCATAATCATTTATAAATCCTCTTGTCCATTCTGCAGTATAAATTGAACTAAATCCACCTTCAGTTAATTTTGTTACTTTTTCAAATTGCTCAAAAGGTAACCATTCTAAAATATAGTTTGGCAGAGATGATTTCATTTGACATTGTTGAATAAAATTATCAATTATGTTATTTCCAGATGTCCAATTATTGAAAAGACTCTGTAGTTGTAAACTAATACAACCTTCACAGAATCTATCAGAATATCTTGTTATTGTACACTTGTTACATTCTTTTGGTTTGCCCGATTTGTAAGTTACACTATTTAATTCAAAGCTATAAATGAATTTTTCTCTACAATAATTTTTTTCATTTTTAGAGAGCTCCTTATTTTTTTCAACTAATGAAAAAAAATAATCTTTTCTACCTTCAGAATTTTCAGAATTAGCCAGAGCATTATTATACATTTCTTTATTAATTTTATATACAAAGTTCATTCTTTCTGATGATAATAATTTATTAAATGACATTTTAACTTTATTGATATTTTTTTATAAATTTATTTTGAAAAAAAGTAAAATTTAATGAGGAAATTAAAAAATTTTTTTTGCAATTTTTCAATGTTGTAAATGAAAAATGAAAAGTTTACTTTATTTATCGTTATGTAGCACAACAAATTTTTTTTGCACATAATTTAAGTTAGGGTTGAGTTGATCCGTTCTCAAAAGACTGGACTGGTTTACTGAATCAATAGTATTTGATGAGAATTACATACTGCGAATGCATCCTTTCGGTCAGTATCGACTATTTTACGTTTTATGGCCGAGTTTAACTTTTTAGCTAAATTCGTCGATTAATTTCAAGCTTTTTATGTATAATGCTCGTCAATTAATTAACGTAAAAAAAAAAATACTGTACTTCAATCAAACCCGCCGATATGATTATTGAATAATTGATGAACATTCGTTTTGCAGGCTTCATAGATCTTGTCTAACACTTACTTTGATCAAATCCGCCTATATGATTATTTAATAATTGATAAAGTGTTCATTAAACATATTTTACAAACAGCTTCATAGATCTCGACTTAACACTTACTTCGATCAAACCCACCTATATGATTATTGAATAATTGATAAAACGTTCATTTGCAAAACTTGATTTGCAAACTTCTTAGATCCTGTACACTTACTTTGATTGCACCTATACAAACTATTGAATAATTGACAAATGTTCATCAGTATATTTTACAAACTTCTTTGGAAGCTTTGTACGTTGTCATACATCTTGCATTTAACGTTACTTCCACAAACTCGCAACCTATCATCAACTCTACTTTTTTCTATTGAATTATTTTGAATTTTTATTTTTTAGATTACACAATAAAAATTATGGAATAGAATTTGTTCAATGAAATGTTGCAAACTGTATAAATCTCATACACAACTTGAAAAAAGTTGGCATATAAGACTCACTTTTCCATTACTAGTACTCATCTCGGGATACAACCATGTGACTCACTTAAATGTGTTATTAAAGTCCAGCAAGTGAGATAGTGAAACCCTTGCTGGTGGCTCATGCTGGATGTATTGACCCTTCGTGACATAACCTCTCTCTTTTGTTAATTTTTATTGTTTATTTTATTTAGATAAAAATTCATTAATTGGTTTGATTGGTTACATTTGTAATATATGATTATCCATCAATTATGAGAAAGCGTTATTATTATAGCAACAAGTAACAAACAACAATGAATCATCATTTTTTGAGGATGATAATAAAGATTAAGATCCGATTTTTGTCACATGAAATACTCAAATTTTTCAAAAAAAAATGTGGGGACGACTTTCCTATTTGGATTTAATAAATAGACTACTGTCTTGACGTGAATGATGCATTTTTTTTGCTCTTTGCAATCCCAATCCCAACTTAAAATAAATGAATTTTTGTTCTTGCGTAGACATGTGACATAGCCCCATTCGTTTTTATAATTAGTATTAGCGGAACAAAAATAATTAAATTCGTTGTTATTTGTACCATAAAGTGTGCTTACAGATTCGCCGAAGCTTTCTAGGTACAAGAAAGAGACAGTAAGCAGGATAATTTCGTAAAATAAACAAGCTCACAACTGAGAACGCAATGTGAGCTTTTGCTGTGTTACCAACCATGCACACCATGCCAACATATGTTTGTACGGCACTTTGATAAATCGGATTTTATTTATTTATTATTATTAATTTAAAGAACCAACACAAACCGTAATTTAAGTCATCACTGCAATATAATAATTAAGGAAAATTGTTTAAAGTCATATTCCTATATATGAGGAACTCACTTTTTTAATAATTCGGTAAATGACATGAACACAGTTCACTATTTTGTAACGAACATTGTCAGCTCAATTCTCTCATACTTCTTGGTATTAATCTTCTCGGGAATCTGGGAAAAGATAAATATGTATGATTGAGCCTATCTTTTCTTTCAAGCTAAAGTTATTTGCAAGAAACAAGTTAATTTTAAATACCCTCTCACCAGGAAGGAATGGAAGATTGCCAGTGGAGTGTTTAGGATAGTAGTCATACTCGAAGAGTGGCTTTCAGTGGACCATCTACGGGTGTGGAAATAATTTTAAGTTTAAAGAACTGGTTAATAGAGTCAGCATATACTCAGAAGAAAGTTCTCAGTATATACCACAAATGATGTTTCCACCATTATACAAACGAGAGAATCAAAAGGAAAATCAACAATCAACAAGGAAAAAGAAAAACTTCGATTCAAAATATTTATCTGCTCCGGAACAAGAATTAAAAATTGTAAAAAAAAAATTTATTATTTCAGAAATAAAATAAAAAGATAAAAGATAAATAAATTTATAGTGGAGATTAAATTAAGGAATTAATGATACATTGATGTTTCAACATCTTATTACCAGAATCTAATGTTCAAAAAGATTGTTAATAATTAATGAAACTTGTTTTTATTTACCTTTGTTGAAATCTACGTTTAAGAAAATAGAGTTAATATCAAGATTATTTAATGAACTGTTGCTACTTGTATAATTTTTAAGCTTTCATTCATTTTTAAAATTTTCTTTGTTATTTTCAGCAAAATCCCAAATCTCTATATAGAATAGTTGGTCTTTTAGATGGATCCACTTCAGGTAATATTGGTGGTCGTGAGCGTTCACATACATCGAAAATTAAATGATGATTATGACCTCTATCATCAAATGGTGGATGGCCTGCAAATATTTCATCCCAACACTATAAATATCGTATCAATTTCTAGATAGCTCAGGTGCAATCCATGTCACAATTCCATAGATTTTTTTTATTTGAAGATATTTTATTACAAGTAATAATTTGCTAAATGACAAAGTATTATGAACAAAAATTAATGTTGAAGGATACGTGTTATAATGAACTTTTTTGCTCCGTATATAAAAATATATAAAATTCGTTATAACGAGGGTAAAAACGATTTATGCTATTACACACACAAACTATTATTACTCAATACTTATTTGTAAAAAGTACAAAAGATATAAATTTACCAATTGCACTAAAAATACTAGGACAAGACCTTTAGTTATAACTGATTCATATTATAATCAAATATAAATATGTAAATTAATTGATCTTAATTGTTTCAAATATTACATCAGAGTGCAAGTAGTATTTAATTCATTCACATGACATCATCAATCTTAGCACAAATTGGTTGGGTTCTATAAATCTAATTAATAGTAATCTGTTATCAATAATCATTTTGGTGCTGTTTGTTTACTTTTGATCGAACCTAAAGCCATTAAAAGAGCCAATTCTTTAACAAAGAGCAGGTTTTATTATTTGGAGTATCGAACTAACATTTTCTCTCAAGATCAGCTTATAGATATGTTAATAACCATAATTATAAATATTATGCATCGATTTTTAATGCTACTAGGTCAAAGCAAGGTCGGAGCCCAATTGCCGAGTTCACAGTTTTATATGCAGAGGTCAAATGAATTATAATATACTTTTTAAAGAGCCGCCGCCTTTTATATTATAGCTTCATTAAAGCACAATATGATTTCTTGAAATATTTGGCAAATTTATGATACAATGGGCAATGCATCTAATATTCAATATTTAGGGAATTTTTGATATTGTTTTTCTTGCCTTCTGTAAATTTGCAAGCATTATCATTGACAATCGCAGAAAATTTATTTGATCCTATTCTATTAACCACACCTTCAATTTGATCGGCAATATAGTCAACTCCATGAAAAAATCTTTCGATTGATACAAAATTGTTTTCTAGTATGTGTGTGGATAATAAAATTCCAAACTGAAGTATATTTGAGAGATGACTAGACATAAAACATAAAAGTCTTCAATCTAAAATAATCCAAAATAAATTATGATAAAATCCAATTTTAAATTTTCTGCTTTTTCTAATATTGAATTTCTTTTTTGATTAACATTTGCAACTTCTATATTTAACGATCCTTGTGATAATACTTTTCTTTATTATTATGAAGGCTGGTATGTTGTCATTGTAATAAAATAGAGATGCTCAATTACACGAAAAGGAATGTTACAGCAGGCAAATGCCTTAATTAGAGATCTATTGGTTGGATCTTCACGTTCTTTTGTTATATTGGTTTGTCCATCAATGTTAGGATTTTTTTTGTAAATTTGCTTTTCATTTTTTTCTGGTTTATTACAACCCATACAGTGGTTTGCTAGATGTGCCAATAATTTTTATGGTTCTCCACGGTTATATGATTTAGTACAATAACATCTTGCACTATAATGACCTTTACCTGTATTTTTTAGAAATGTTTCCAAACTTCAGATTGTGTCATCCTGTTTGAGTTGATCTTATCTGTTGCGACAAATAGTCATTAGAGAGCATAATGACAAGGATTATTTGTAAAAAAATTTCTTGGTATCACACTAATCATTGGTTTATCAAACGAAATTAATGAAATAATTCCCATCTTGCAAAGCATTTCGTCAACCATTCTTGTACATATAGTATTGCGTTTTACCTTTGGTATAATTTTGATTGAACAGTTTTCTTTGTTCTTCAGCTAATTGGTATTTTTATTATAATTTTTGCTTTTGACAGATATTCTTTAAATCTTTGGAGTAATTCTAAATGACTTCCGATATTTCAAAATAAGTCCTACCAATTCATAGCATATTGGTGTATTGTGATCCCAATGGTAGAAAGTCCTTTTGTTAGATCCGATTTTCTTTTTAAGGCCAATCGTGCTATCAAAAATATGTCTTGTTCAGACTTGGAAAGAGCTTGGAAGGCTTCACATGTAATTCTGCAAACTCTTCTTTTGGAACCATTGCTGAACAACCACAACCACAACCTTTTCCTAAAAATAAATTACTTTTACATATTCAGTAAAGCATTATACGGTAATTATTACTTTTCATGTACATGTAATCCTACATGAAAATTTTTATTCGTTTTGTAGAGTTTCAATTATTTTAAAATTGAAAAAGGATCCTAAAATAAGCACCGTTATTTACAGGTGAAGTGGATGGGATAGAATTAAATTTGGTGAATGTGTAAATAAATACCAGAAATAGTATTCGATAATTGATTTAAAATATGATTTATCAAGGGTAAATTAAAAATCCTCCAAGAAATTTGGTCAACTGGCTCCATAAAAAATAATGGTCTAAACCTACCAACAGATTGACCAAAGAATAGGAAGTGTTCATCAATTGCATTCCATGCAATTATCTAGTGGATTTTTATCTCATAATTTTTAATATTTACAATAAAATCATTATGTGTTTCTCTTAGCTGAGTCAAATAAACATTACCTATCTTTTTGATGTCATTTAATTCTTCCTTGAGCATGAATAATACCTTTGTCTCCACAATATTTATGATGAGTATGTAGCACATTTGATGTTATTACTTGTAATAAATAATTGCATCACTAAAGTAATAATTATACTAATAACATGCAGAAATGAAACTTTCCAAAAAATAAAAATCTGATATTGATCACAGGTATCAGATTTTAATAAGTCTCCTTTTTAAAGCATGCAATTGACTCCTCACGTCCATGGAATTTTTCCACAGGCGAAGGCGGATTGACACATGCTAGAAGGCTTTAGCCATCTCCTTGTAATGACACAATTTCATTAAACCCCAGGGCATCGCACCCCCTTGAAATCTAATTGCATCCATTGTATAATAGGAGCGGGTAGTCAAATTAACCTTATGTACATGAGGAATAAGAGAAAAATATTTGAGCTTTGAAGTAATAAAGATTTCAATAATCATGTTGATTTTTTTGGTGGTTCCAAATTGCCCGAGTTTTCCACATGAGAGAAAGATAGGTCTCCAATAGTTGTTGATAATTCTTATAATAAATTTGTGACGAGTATGTAACACATTTGATTACATTACTCAAGTAACTATGAAAAATTTTAAGGAGATGGTTCTGGGAAAGATACATACAAATAAAGATGGTAAAGTTTGTCAGTATTATATCATTTCTTTCCCAAAATCCCCTCCAAAAAATAAAAATCTGATATTGATCACAGGCGTCAGATTTTAATAAGTTTCCTTTTTCAAGCATGCAATTGACTCCTCATGTCCATGGAATTTTTCCACAGCTGAAGGCGGATTGACACATGCTAGAAGGCTTTTGACAAGCAAGAGACTTTAGCCAGCTCCTTCTAATGACACAATTCCATTAAACCCCAGGGCATCGCACCCCCTGAAATCTAATTGCATCATTGTATAATGGGGCAGTCAAATTAATCTCGTGTACGTACATGAGGAATAAGAGAAATTACTTCAAGCTCGAAACATTTAAACAAACTATAACACTTAAATCATCCAAGTTTTTCTTTATGAAAAATTTCCAAAATAAACAAATATGTTTGTTGATTGATATTATAATTAAATTAAATGTTAATAATATAAAATAATTTATTTTCGCGAAACATCAAAATTTTTTTTTTTTTGTAAAATTACAAAGTTAAAAAATGAGGAAAAGAACTAAACAATAAAACCATTTATTTCGAGCAAGATTAACAAAAAACAGAGGCCTGAAAGTAAAGAAGTCGAATCCAATATTTATGATTAATTAATTTGACAACAATTTTGCAATCAATGTGAATAATTTAGAAAATTGTTTGGAGTCCATTGAAGATGAATTGGAAAATGATCCAGGTAAGTTAGAAGATGACCAATAGTGACAATACTACTCCTAAGCCAAGACATCAATATAAAAGGCAAAAATTCTGATTCTACCACCACCACTGCTAATGATTGCAATGTTACTTCTAGTAATTAAAGCAATAACAATTATAAAATATCAGGAGAATCAAACATGATGTATAATTCAGTTGAAATGATGGAATCATCTTTAAATTGTGATCATAATGGTAATATTATCACTTTTTCTTTGGATGTTGATAATAATGATGAGGATGGAGAAAGAGTTATAATAGTTACCACTGAGAAAGGTAAAAAAAACATGGGTAAAGAGATTATTTATATTTATTATTATAATTATTGATTCCTTATTGTTGTTAGTTATTAAGAAGGGAAAATGATTACTTGAATCAATTATAGATAGTTACTTGAAAAATGTAAATTGTGACAATGTTGCAGATGAAGTCAAAGAGAAAACTGCTAGAAAGTGTTATGATCAATGAAAAAGTTCTTGCACCTAGTATAAAAAAATATGTTGAAGAATAGACTATGTGGGAATTTATAGTATAAATTCTTATCACAATTTTATTATTGTTAATAAATAAACAAAATTTACATATAGAACTTCATGTCTTGAAAAAACAAAAAAAAAACCACAATTTTTATAATATATAATAACTTAAATTATTTTAAAATCAGATTCCAATTCAATATTGTATCTTTGCATTAGTTCATCTGTAATGTTTTCTTTAGGTATAAATACACTATAATTCTTGTAATCTGCTTTATTGTCATCTTCAATATCATATTTTTTCCACAATTCTGTTAATATGCTTTTTACATATACAAAAGATGGTCGAGTTTTTCGTTCATGTTGCCAAGCTATATCATACATTGTATATTGTATTATATATAAAATATATGTGAATTATGAATAATAAATAAATAAATGAATATAAATGTACTCAATTATACCTTTTTTAATAATTTCAATTAATCCATGTTGAATTTCTCTGTCTTTTACCCCAATCTTTAAAACTTCTCGTTTACCAGACAACACATAATCATTAATATCATTCACTTTAAATTCTTTATATGGTATTTTCTGATAAACAAGTTCCCAAAGTAACATCCCATAACTAAATAAATATTATTAGTGTTAAGTAAATTTCTATTAATTGTACTTGTCATGATAAAATGTTTATTTATTTACCTAAACATTTCAGAACAAAAATCATACTCTATGCCTTTTGCTTTTAATTTCTCTGGTGCCATCCAAGGAACAAACTTATCCAAAGTTGTTAATCTATGACCCATATATACCTCTTGTACTTCTTTATCAAAATTTGCCACCTTTGCATCTCCCATCCCATCAATCTATAATTAATAAACATATTATTATTAAATTTATATATATTATATATATCCTTTTCTCCCCATCTACTAATAATCACTTACTAAAATATTTTCACATTTAACAGAGTGATGCAATATGTTGGCACTTTGTAAGTATGAAAGCCCTCTGACAACATCATATGCAATCTTTAGTTTAGTCACCCAATTAATATAATTATTCTCATACAATTTTAGTAAATCTCCCTTCTCAGCCCATTCATACACAAAATTATAATAACTTTCCACTTTATAATATCCATAAAATTTCAATACATATCTGTACTGAATTGTTTTTATTAATGTCAATAAAATATAAAAAGTATCTTCAGGAATCTTGTTCTGAAAACTCAAATAAAGTTTTCTACAAGCTACTTCTTGATCAATTGTAGTTGATTTTGTAGTTGCAGTTGTTCCAACTGCTTCTGCTGTTGAATTGGGATCGAGACTTGGATCAGAATCAGGGCAAGAGTTTTTATTTTGATCTAACTTTTGATCTTGACTTGTGATTTTCATTTTGTATATTTTTTTTGTAATTACTTTGCTCCTTTCATTACTTGGATTTGGTGGATTTTCTATATCCTCTTTGTTTAATCTTAGCAGCATTCTTAGTAGTGTTTGGACTTCTGAATTCCTATTTTTAGACGATTCTTGTAGTGATTGATTCCTATTTCTAGATTCCTGTAGTGTTTTCACTAATATCAATCTACTTGTATTGATTATATCTCCATTCTATAAAATTTTTCCAAGGAGGAAAAAAAAATTAGTTTTCTAGAAACATAAAATGAATACACAAAAATCCACACACACACTATTAATTACCTTCTGAAAATCCATACATAATTTCCATATTTCATTGAAGTGATTATCAAGTGACTCTTTATTTTCTTTAATTTGTTGAAATATAAAAATTGTCATGTTGTTAAATTGTAATCCTTTACAAACCAATTCTAAATCATCAACAATTTCATAAAAATTTTTTTTAACATGTTCAAGATCATAAAAATTCCTAACAATCCCATAATCTGAAATTCTATAAATGAATTTTTCAATACTATTTAACACAATCTCAAATCTATTAAATGATTGATAGAATGTTGCTTGCTTAAACTTCTCTAAATTTTCTTCCTTGCTTCTTGTCAAATGATTTATATTAAAATGCATAAAGTCAACACAGTCTACCAAAATCCCACAAAATTTTATACTTTTATCTTGAAAACTATCATAATATTTTAGTATACGTTCGCATTTATTACATACTTTTTTAATAATTGATGTATATGGACCAAATATATCACTTATAGCTGTCATATTATTATTACTATCTTCTTCATCTTCACTATCACCACCTTCCAGAATAACGAAATCATTTAAATAACCCTTTTTTTCATCCATTTTGGATTTTTTTCAGAAAAGAAAATTTTATCTTTTTTAAATCTAGATTTGTTACACAACAATCAGTCAAACCTCTCAACGAATTATCACATTACATAAATTTGTTGAAACGCGGTTAGTAATCTTGGTATAACGAATTTTAAATGCATATAGATTCATTGAAACGAGATCTGAATGTACTAAATTGTCGTCGAATTATCAAAATTATGTGTATTGTTATAACAAGGTAGTAATGGTAGTAATAGGAAAAAATAACTTTTGCAGAGAAAAGTAATTTCTTTGTTAAAAATTATTCTTGTTACACAAATTCACCAACAAATATTTTTTTTTTATCACCAAAATTTCCACCATTTGTTTCTACTACTCCAAATAATTTCTATTCTTGATTTTCATCAGCTTCCTCTAATCTCTGTTTAACTTTTTTCAGTATCTGATTAAAGTTTGATGATTTGATTATCTCTTTGAAAATAACATAATCTGAGAGTCTGGTTTTATTTTATTGTCTTTGATCAACCATTATTATTCCATCATGATGCGAGATTAATAATTGGTAATTCAAGATATTTGAAGAAATTAGATCAATTATGATATGGTTTTTGTTGATGAACAAACTAGTTCTCAAATCAATTTTCCAAGCTGCTAATGCATATCATTGTGATTCAATTTCTAATCCATTAAAATTTGGGATTAAGCCAATCAAATTTATCAACCAAGTTTTTTGTTCTTCCTTTAATTTATTTGCAGCCTTTACAATAATAATCTCACAACAGAAAAGAATATATTACCAAATAAATCTACATCAGTTTCTTTAGCCAATTTATTTAAATATAATATTCTGCCACTAATACATTCACTCACAATCTTCCCCAATACTTCATCACATTTATTTTATCTTTTCTTTATCTTTCAGGAATTCTATTGCCTCATCCAACCTGTAATGCAATTTAAATTTTAATCTTCATTAAGAAAAAAAAAGGATAATCAAAATAAAGGTAGATTTACTTCAAGATTAACATTATTGTTGTTGTTATTCTGTAACAGGAATGCAATAATACAAAGATTAATTTCTAAAATGAATATGAACCAACTAATCAATAAAAATTTTATTAAAAGCTTGCCTCTTCATCTATAAGAAAAGATAAGAAATTCTCCAACAAAGAGTTTATTGTGTTTACCATCTCTTTATTATCATTGAATTTTTTTTCAATTGTATATTGTTAATTATCTCTGTAAGAGATCCAACAGAATATGTTGTGATGATGATGGTGATGATGGTGATCTGATACAAAAGAAGTTAAGTCTTAATTAGTAAAATGACAAGTTTAAGTTCGGATGTTTGAATTTATAATTAATCAGAGTGATGACGCGTGGCAACGATCGCAATAACCACCAATCTTTATATATAAGCTAGAGTGACAACAAGTGGCAATAGCCACCACCATTCTTTTAATAAATACTTACCCAACCAACGCATGCTCACGGCTGGTTCCTTTTTTTCTTTTATTTAAAAAAGACATTAGTGGAAGGTGTACCAATCGTTGGCACAGTAGGAGTAGCAGCAGTTAGTATGTAGGAAGTACCAAGTTCAGAAGCAGTATTTAAGTTGTCACTTATTAAAAGTTATTTATATTATTTATATTTGTTGCTGAATAGTTGTGGAAATGAAATTCTTGGGGAAAGTAAAGAAACAGATGAATTATTATAATAATATATTATTATTATTGATCATTTGATCGACAAACGCGTCATTAATTATTTGTTATTGGCACTTGGTGTTGTACAAAGGTTTTTTTTTGTTTGACACGATTGATTTTTTTTTCTTGGAAAAACAGTTTATTTTTTGACAGTCTAAAGATGACAAAACGTGAGTGTTGTTGTTTGGTTTGGTTTTGGTTTGGGTCTCCTAAAGAAACGTGTTAATATATTTTTATTTTAATGTTTAATTGGAACAAGCTTAAAAAATGTATTCAATCTCAAATTCCATGTTCAACAATGGACTTATTGACTTTAATACAATTGCATTTTCTCTTCTATACAAGTATTCTAAATCAACTCAACCATATAGTATTCGAAAATTTTTTTTCATTTTTGAAGATTGTTTGTCACTAGAAATTTCATGGAGCATTTTCATTTTCATTTCCGAAAACTTCATATTTAATGTTAAGATCTTTACACATATATTCCACCACCTGACTCCATTCGTTTCCTAAATTGGATTTACTCCACTCTACAACACCTCCTCGTGCATTGACATTATGTATTCTTTCAGACATCCATTTGTATAATGTCTGCATTTCCCCTGCCACAAAATTTACATCAATAGGAATAGTTTGATTTTGACGATGCTTCCAAAATTTCTGAAAAGTTTGGGATTCTTTTCAAGATATTTCTTCCACCTTTCTTTTCGGTTTCCACGAATATTCATCATCCTTTCTTCCCAACGTTCTAGAAATCAGTTACAAATCCAAAAAAAAATGAATAAGCAAATAAAATGTCAATAGTAGAAGTAAACAATTTTTTACTAACCCAAAACACCTCTAACATGCACAGATCCTTTTATTCTCAAATAGTCCAATTCTGTCCGACCCTAAAGAAATAAGATTTGAGATTAATTGTTAAAAAACAACGTTAAGCAATTCCAAGCAAAACTCACCATACGCTCTCTAAATATCTCTAAATCTTTTGTGAGTACAATTATTTCTTTTTCCTTTTCTTTTGTAATTATTTCTTTTTCCTTTTCAATTATTTCTTTTTCCTTTTCAATTATTTCTTTTCTCATAATTTCACGTTCCAGGTGACGAAACTTCTTAAACAATACCATCTGTTCGGGAGCTGTGAGTGATTTAAAAACATTATTAATATCATCCTCATCTTCAGGTATATTTTTTTCGATATATAAACGTTTGCTTAATACTGAGAAAAAGCTTTTGTTTGCCATAGAGAAAAGGGATTTGTTAGCTATGGGGAAAAAAAGTTTTTTCGATGTAGGGCGAAGGAGGTTCATGGAGTTAAGATTTAAAATTTTGTGTTGGGTATTAGAGAAATACGTTTTTGACGAAAACATTAAAAGCCGTAATGAGCAAAAAAATGACATCATTTAGGCCAAGACAATAGTCTATTTTATTAAATTCAAAACATATAAATATGACAACTGTTCCCGCATTTTTTTCGTAACACCAACGTAGAGGAAGAACATTCCTCTCGGGCCATTTCGGCACAAGATAAAATTCAAGCTTACGAATGTGCACGCACATTCAAACTATGCTTCGCATTCGGTGCTAATTTTGATGCTTTGAACAAATATGTATATGATTGATGTCGTGTGATTTTATGACACCAGAATATCATCGCGCCATAATAATAATGCTAATCTGTATTTCACGAAACTCACTGTTACGTTTTCGTTTAAATTTGTTATTTATGAAAATTATAACATAAAATCATACTCTTTTTATACAAAACATTATTTAGAGTGTGTTGCAAAAAAAACCGGAAAATTACTGTTGTCAAAAAACTTTTTATAATATTACTAAAAATTCATCAACTTGACTCAAATAA